GGAGAACCTCCCTCGACCTGCTGCCCACACTCTTCTTGATGCACCCCAGGATCCCATTGGCTTTCTTGGCAGCCAGGGCACGCTGCTGGCTCATGGTTAACCTGTCGTCCCCCAGCACTCCCAGTCCCTCTCCGCAGAGCTGCTCTCCACCAGGTCCGATCCGAGTCGGGTCTGCACAGCGCCGAGCCCTCGCGTCTCCCGCGGAGTCCACCGAGCAGCACAGACCTCAGCCCTCTGAACATCGAGACAAAATGACGGCAAAGTTACCGACCCTCCAGAAGCATTTGTACTGAAAAAACTATTTATTTGTTTCACACAAAATATCTAGTGTGGAATTCAACTATCCAGTGTTGCATCAGTAACACAGGAACAAGAGGAGTATTTTACAACAAGCTTCAGATACACGAAGTTTTTAAACATTAAAATGTATCCAGCTTAGAAACTGTACATTCAAACACAGGAAAACATTCAATGTTCTTTCGGCAAGCATTTAGGAATAACAAATCATTCCATTGAAGCACACTTGCAGAGTTATTTTTCCCACAACAGCTTTGCCCATTAACGTACCGGACAGTTAGCAGATCTCTGGACCCCACAATTCTGTTTGCTCTCGGTTTTAATTCAAAATTCTCTCACTTTATTGGTTTAAACAAACTAGCTATATTAATTCCTCCCTCAGTGAAAAATACCCAGCAGTGTGTAAAACAATCTTTGGAAGCTTGTTATGTACATCAGCGGTGTTGCCACACTGACAAAATACGACGTGTGATTATTTATAGGCTGTTGTGCATCCACCCAAATGCCCGTCGGTTTTTCAGTGAGGAACCTAAACCACCCTTCTACGCTAGCGGTATCCAAGGGCCGCCAAACCTGACCTCCAGCTCTCTTCCTCCATGCCTGCGGGCTCCGACTGGTTTCTGCGAGGTGGGCTCGGCCGCGGCGGGCTCCGACCTGCCGGCACCTGCTCAGCGGAGCCACAGCCCACCAACACCCACGGGAGGTTCTCCCGACGGCGGGGAGCTTTGGATCACGCTTTCGGCACCGCTGGCTCAAAGACCCAGAGCGCGAGGTTGTCTCAGCAGGACCCATCTTGGCATTTATATCAGTATATCAATTTTCAATGCAGAATTCATAAAGAGTGAAAAGCAAAAATGCCTTCCATTTTTTTTTAATACTGTAGATGTCACAGGTTAAAACCGAACTACTCTGCAGCATGGAAAGGGTTCGCATTACCTATAAACCTTTCCCTGGGAAATATTTTCTCTGAAGTACACACACGTGCAATTTTCTGAGCGATACGTACTTCCCCGAAACCTCTCCGACTGCCCGTTTGAAGGCCACCCCAACGCAGGTCCTTTCAAACTGTTGAATATTGTCTCAGAGAAATGCAGTGATCTGTGCACACCGACACCGGGAAAGCAGAATTTGAACCAAAGGTGCTCAGTAACCAACAAACACCGCGGCTGGGCTGGAAGGCGCATCCCCTCAGGCCGTGGGTTTCTGCACTTCACATTCCTCCTCCCCTCTACCGCGGGCTCGCACCCAGCTCCGTTCCCCAGAGGCCACCCAGTCTGGGGCGTAAGCACGGCTAACGGGAGCCCACGTGGGGAGCGGCGAGCTCCAAGAGCCTTCACCCGTGGGAGGAGGAAGATGGCGGTCCGAACTGCCACCGCAGGGCGAGCAGCCCGTCCTACGCCGAGGCAAAGCAGGATTTCCAGCTCGCTGGTGGCATTGCTGGTGATCTAAACCCACCCAGGAGCTGCGTCCTCACTGCCCGCCTCTCGCACGCCGAGGGACAGCCCGAGGGGTGCAAACCCACCGAGGCAGCACGGAGCTACCCCGGCGGCGCAGCGCATTCGGGAGAATTACCCAACTGCAGCCTGGCAGAAGGAGATGACAACAAACTGTTTGCGCTGGTCGTCCGCGCCGTGAGAGGGGATGGCCTGGACCTGGAGCTGGCTGGGGACGGAGCGCAGGGGACACAGAGACAGCAGAGACGGAGACAACCCAACCAGCACACAGTGACAGCCGCCGGAACAGACAGCGCGTTTCTGCGTCCTCAGTCACGCCTGAAGTGGGATCCCCTGCGCGCTTGACCTGCATTTTCGTATTCTTGTGAAGAGTTTGCCCGTTCGGAGCAGCCGGCCCTGGAGCCGTGCACTGCAGTCGCCACCACCGAGCGGTAACTGAGCGGACAGACATCACAGCGCCTCGTCAGACTTTAACTTTGCTCAGCAGAAGACACCCACACACAGAATATCAATAACCTCTTTGGCCTTTTTTAATTAGTCTGGGTTTCCTCGGTTTCCCTAAGGAATGACGCACTCCTGATTTTCCTTCAGAGCTGTAAACACAGAGCCTAACAGGTCTCGGAGCGTTCTCCTGCACCACAGTGCTGTAAAACCCTAAGGGAAAGCGGAACCCCAACGGTGTTCATTCATATTGCACCCAAACACGGACCTGGCGACCTACTCTTGCCCCACAGAAAAGGGGCTTCGTTCCCAGAATGCTTCAAATATTCCACTGTGCCAACATTTGTTGCACACTTGCCTATGTTTACGTCAGACAACTGACCACACCTCCTATAAAAATGTATTGCTTCCCCCAGCCCAGTGATTAGCATTTAGTCCATCATCTCACTGACGTTTGGTTGCATGTGCCACAGTCTGGAACCCTGAAAATAAACCGAGACACGGGTGAGACATGTCTCGGCCTCCTTACACAGCCACAGGCGCTGACATCTGACGTCCGGCACAGCGGCAGATTTCTGACAGACAAGACAAACTCCGCCTCACCTGAACTCCGCTCTGTCCTCTGACAAGCGCAGAATCGGTCACCTCGAGGAGCGACGTCCGAGGGAGCAAAGTTCCTCATCTGAGGACGACTGCAGTTCGGCCCTCCCATGGTTTTTGCTGGTTTACGACACGATGCCAGCTACGTTCCTTTGTCGCCAGCTGGACGTTCCAGTCAAGGTGCAACCAGCAGCTGCCGAGAAGTTCTGCCCAGCTGTCAGAGGCCGGCTTCCATCAGGAGACGGTGGAGAGCAGCTCCAGCCAGGCTGCTGCCCGCAGCTCTTCGGACCGAGGCGTCGTTCTCCAAGGTTTTGGCAACACCACCGTGAGCGCACGCTTCGGCAAACTGAGCAGAAACGTACCCGGACCCATGCAGGCCACCACGGCGTGCACCTCCACACGCACAGAGACACCAGCACGGCTGAAGCAGTCTTCACCAAGCAGCAGACAGAGCGCTCAACGTTTCTGGCAAAGTCAGAAAAGTCAAATTCTGCTCCAAATCACGAGGATTGACAGTTCCTATATAAGGTTCCACCTCTGCAACAAATACTGGTCCTCACTGACTCAAACTACCTGCCTTGGATGGGAGGAACACCGAGAAAATAATTTCCAAGCAATCAGTCCCTGTTAACTCTCAAGAAACAGAACCCACAAGCAAGGGAAGTAGAAAGCACGGCTCGGTTTGCCGTTCTCACATTGTGGCTGTTGATGGCTGAAAAGTGCAAGGCAGGCATCTAGTTCATAAAACCTATTCTGTAGTGTACGGAATCCACCGTGTGCTACGCCAGGTACACAATAAATATTATTCTTTTGTTTTTAGGCATCAAGAGTACATGATTTTAATTACAGCTGATACTGAGTTGCATTCAGTTAGCTATTTGCTTGACACGGGACATTTTAAGCTGAACAGCTGACCATGCAAGCATGACAGACTTAAGAAAAACCCTTCCTGCTAAACGTCAAATGATATCTGGATCAAATGCCTCTCAACACAGAAGTAAAGTTTTTATGAGTGTGAGCAAAGAGCAGCAGAGACACGATTCGCTTAGGTTCAACCCCAGAGTTCCTGCAGCTGGACACGTGACATTGGCAGTGACAGTATGGTCAGCTTTCTACGCTTCAGGGTTGGAGTTTTTGTCAAGGAGATCTTGCTCGCGTTGTTCATTGCTTTCGTATCCCGTCATTCCTGCGATCCGGAGTTTGACCTGGTGACCCCCGGCGAGTGAGATCCTCTCCCAACCATCTCCTGTCCCCATTCTCTGTGGCTGGACTCCTGTAAGCCACGGCCTTTCGTCTCGAGGGGCAAGAAGCAGGCCCCCACGGCAGCCAGCAGGCAGCATCCACTGTAAACTGCCAGCGTTAAATAGACTGAGGATTCCAACATCACCTGCAGAAAAAAGGCAGAAAATACAAAGCAGTACCTCAGAAAGAACTATAAATACCAATGTAGTAGTAGAAACTTTAATTACAGTACTGGAAAAAATGTTTAACAAGCACTGCTGCATACGTTCTTTCCTCAGAGATGACACACAGCTACTGACCCCTGACAGAACAGTCTGGTGCCGTGAGCTGCAGCTGCCCTCCTGTGTCAGCCAGGACTTCAGCAAACCCCAGGTCTTCCACCCAGCCCTCTGCAGAGCCACCACTGCCACAGTCTGCCGAGCCCTGTCCCTGCGGAGCCCGGCTCCCCAGCCTCCCTGCCCAGCTCGTTCCACATACCCTTAAGGTTTGATACCTCCAGGACCTCAGCCTGGGATCTCCAGAGAAAGGTGGCATTGCACCTCGCACAGAAACTCCCTGCCTCTCACAAATCCCACCTCCGGGTGGTAGCTTCCAAGCTACATCCATCCAGCAGCCTGCTGCTTGGTTATCTATCCCCCATCACATGGGCCTCTGGAGCAAGAGGTAAATTCAGAGCTGAACCTGATCTCTCCTCTAGGAACAGGCAACAACATCCCTCCTTCGACACACCACGCACAGATTGCCCTTGGCTTGGTCCTCCCAGCAGAAAAGCAGGCTCTCCATCACCTTCCTGCGCCTTCAGTCACGGAAGGAGCCGGGATTTTACCTGTGCAATGAACGGGGTTATGAGGGCTCCCACCCTGGCCATTCCACTGCACGTTCCCAGGCCCAAAGCACGCGTGGCTGTCGGATAAACCTGTGAAGAAAGCATCAGCCCGTTAACCCCAGCGGGAAGTTCTCTTCCATCAGGCTCCTAAATCAACGGAGATGAGTAAGTGGTACTACAGCAAGTTCTGTCAGACAAGGACAACACGATTACCAACTCATAGCTGGGGTAAGGTCCACTGTGAAGTGGTCTTAAAAATGACTTTCCCACCATGTTCTCACCCCCCTTAAACATTCTCATTAGGAAAACAACCTCCTTACCTCAGGAGTGTAAACATAAGCAGCCTGAAATCCTCCTGAAATAAAAGCTCTTGCAATGAAGAGCAGCACAGTAAGAACATTTCTGTGAGAATAAAAAGGAGAGCAGTGTTTGGGATTGTTCTGTACAATCTGTTTGTTTAACTTGGAGGCAAGTGCAACAAAAATGCTAAATCGTCAGAACGATTTCTTTTGTTTTCTAATGAACCCTTTGTATTTTTTTCTGGACCTTTAATATAACAATGACGCCAAACAATCTGCATTCCCACAATCACATCAGCCTTCTAAGTGTATTCATTCTAGCTGACAGCTGTGGCCTACAGAAATAAGTAGCCAACACCTCAGCTTAGCTAAATAAGAAAAACATATTCCACGTTACGAATGGTGCTAACAAAAAGCGGCACGTAAGAGAAGGAAATGAGAGTGCAGCTTTCCTGTTTAAAAGACATGACCCTACGTACCACCTGGCTATTTGCCACTTTGTCAGGTTTCTTAGCACAAGGTTTCTGTACTGTAAGGTTTTGCCCAGTGCCTGAAGAGGTTTAAATGCGGAGAGCTCTCCTCTGGCTGTTAGGTCACTCCCTCGTTCGCCAGCCCCGGGGGACAGACACCGCTGCATGCGTGTGGCACGAAGGCCTGACGCGGCCAGAGGCAGGCTCTCCGAGCTCGGCTGGAAATTTGGTACCGTTAACGTTCAAGGGCAGAGCTGCCAACTGACTTTTCTTTGGAAAATCCGCACAAAGGACAGATACTGGACAACTGAAAAATGTGAAGCCAAGCCAGGCCCCATGGATCTGCAACGCCAGCATCCAGCTCCACCAGCCACGCTGCGTAGCTTCGCGGTTGGGCCAGTCTGTGTCTCTCGCTTCTCATGTAATTGTGCCATAGCACTTAGACCCCCAAGAGCCCGTGACGAGTAGTGAAGCAGTCAGAGCAGCTGAATGGGAGGCAGAGACTGGGCTTGGTTGGGAAGCACTGCCCTGGTAATTCTTACAGAGTCAGCCTGGGGAAGCACAGGTAACGAATGGCAGAGAGCGGTACATGAACCAGCTACCGAGGCTCAGGACATCAGATCTGACTTTAAAATTGCCCAGTGGTTACCTCCTACTCAGACATAAGCTCTTATTCTCCCCTTTGGATTGCTCTGTCTGCAAGATTATAGTGAAGGATTTCTCCTCTCCTGCTTCTTTTAGTTTCCTTCCAAACTCTGGTGAGAAAACCTAACATCATCCTTAATTCTTTCTCCAGTGGAGCAAGACCATCTCACGGCTTTTCAAACAATCACTTCCAGTTCTCCTGCCATAATCAAGAGAGAACACAGATAAATCAGATACACCAGGTGTTCACCATGTTTTACTTACCTTCCAACGCAGAGAAACAGCAGAAGACTGCAAAACGAGAAGACAAGAAAGGACAGAGCCATGGTTTTCTTGCGGCCTATCCGATCAATAATCCACAGCGTTACTAACACACCTGTAGAAGGAGACACGTTGACTGGGAATTGAGCAAAGGTGGAGGCTGCAGCAGCTGGCTTTTAACATAGGCTGGGTTATTCAGATTTGAAATTTTGTTGTCTCTTTCTTTAAAACACTTTGCGGGCAGAGGCATCAGGCAGAATGGCAGAGGCATCAGGGGTGCAGAATGGACTGCCCCAGCCACTGGTGCCACACGAAAGCTCTGTGTCCCAGCTGGTGAGCCTTGCTCTGTGTTCAGAGCCCCACCGGTCCACGCGTCCCCATGCCCACCCACTCAGGGGCTACACGCTGCCGTGGGAGCGAGCAATCAACTCCGACATCTGTCAACCACTGCTTATTGCGGCGGTTACCAGCGCGGATGCTAAAAATGCTTGCCTTATGTCTCATTGGAACATCTTTTCTTCAGCTTCTGACCATTGTTCCCTGCTAATCTTCCTACTTCTC